GTATATATGATGAGATGGATGATAGTTAGAAATATCGATAGATAGATTCAAGAAGTTAGATAGATAGGTATAAATGAAGATAAAGATTTAGATGAATATTTATGAAGAACAAGCTGAAGTGCTCGCAGCGTTGTCGTTGGAAATAAAAAAACTTTGAATAAAAAATTTCGAATTTGAAATATGGGACTGTGGAAGACGATGCCTGGCCGCGTTAAACAAGTTCCACAAGATTCAACAGAATGAGATAGAACAGATACGGGGCATAGTACTGATAAACATCTACACGTGTGATATCAATATTGACTCTAGTTCTGAACCCTCTAGTAATAAGTTATAAGAAATATATATACTGGAAGTCATTTATGCGTTTTTATTAGAGTCTGACTCACGTCCTCTATAGGACAACCATAAATATAGCTAACATGTATATTAGAGACTTTATTTTATAGATGATAGAGAAATGGAAGAGAAATGGAAATGGAAGAGAGAAATATGGATAACGAAACCAAGATATAGAATCAATTAAGAAGAGGGATAATGGAATATAAAAAAGAATGGAGGATGGAAGATATAAAATTAATCTAGAGAATCGAGTATGAAAGATATAATATCAATTTAGAGAATGGAGAAGGAGGAAAAAGTCAAAGAAGAATGGAAGATAGAAGATGTAAAACTAATCAAGAAAATGGAGGGAGGAAGATATACATTTAAAGGGTAATAGAGGATGGAGGATATGCTATTAACCAAGAGAATGGAGAAGGAGGACAAAGTTAAAGAAGAATGGAGGTGGAAAATTCAAAAATTAATCAAGAAAATGAAGAATGAAATATATTGAATTTTTTTAAGAGAATGGAGTATTAAAGAGAAAGAAGAAAAGGAAGAATGGAGGATGGAAGATATATGATTATTTAAGAGCATGGAGTACTAAAGAGAAAGAGGAAAAAGAAGAATGGAGGATGGAAGATATAAAATTAATCAAGAGAATGGAGGATAAAGGTTGAGGAGGAAAAAGAATGAAGGACGGAATATATTCTATTAATCACGATTTTGAAGTGGAGGGTCGAAAGCAAAAAAAGAATGGAGACTGGATAATATAGAATTGATCAAGAAAATGGAGGATTAAAAGAGGAGGAGGATACAGAATTAATCAAGAAAATTGAGGATTACAAAGGAGGAGGAAGAAGACATGGAAGATATGGAAGATAAAAACTGACAGAGTTAAGCGAGAAAACGGAGTATTGAAGAATTGAAAAAAAAAACAATTAATGATTTAAAAAGATAATGATTTAGATAATGAAAAAGGAAAAGATTTGTGGATGAATATATTGGATGAACGAATGAATACTCAGTCCTGAGAATAGATAAGGAATGGAATGTTGGTTTAGATAATGCAATGTTTATTTATTTAATAAATCTACATGAGAAAGGACGCGACGGTAGGGGGAAAGGATGGAAGAGAGAAAGTATACAAATGGAGAACGAATGGTAGGTAGAAAGGAAAGCAGGAAGAATGGTAGCGAAAAAGATTGGTAGGGAGAAGGGATGGTAGCGAGAAAGGATATTTGGAAGAAAGTTTGTAAGGGAGAAAGTATAGTAAGCAGAAAGGATGGTAGGAAGAAAGGATGGCAGGGGAAAGGATGGTAGCGAGAAAGGTTGGTAAGGAGAAGGGATGGCAGGAAGAAAGGATGGTTAGTAGAAAGGATGGTAAGGAGAAAGGATGGTAGGGAGAAAGGTTGGTAAGGAGAAGGGATGGCAGGTAGAAAGGATGGACGGTAGAAAGAATAGAAGGTAGAAAGGATGGACGGTTAGTAGGATGGATGAATGGAAAGATGGCAGGGAGAAATGTCGGGATAAATAGATAGATGAAAGAACTCTAATTGGAAGTTTAATTAAAACTGAGTTCTGAAACGGATCCAGAAAACTTTTAGTTAGTCAGGATAGAGCTTACAGGGGGGCTTGTAGATAGTGTAACATTTCAGGATAGAGCTTACAGGGGGGCCTTGTAGATAGTGTAACATTTCAGGATAGAGCTTACAGGGGGTCTTGTATAAAGTGTGAAATTTCAGGATAGAGTTTACAGGTGGGCTTGTATAAAGTGTAAAATATCAGGATAGGGGAGGGGGTCTTGTATAAATAGATAGATAGATATATATATAGATATATAGATAGATAGATAGATAGATAGATAGATAGATAGATAGATAGATAGATAGATAGATAGATAGATAGATAGATAGATAGATAGATAGAATACCACGAGTGGTAACTATTTTCTAGCATTAAACTAAGCTTGTAATCCGGTTTAGATCCTACTCAATCCATCTTCATTCAGTACTCTTCCTTTTCATTCAATCCAGTTCAACCTAGTTCAATCCAGTTCAATCCAGTTCAATCCAGTTCCATCCAGTTCAGTCTAGTTCCATCAAGTTCAATCAGTTCAATCTAGTTCCATCCAGTTCAATCTAGTTCCATCAAGTCTAATCCAGTTCAATCCAGTTCCATCCAGTTCAATCTAGCTTCATCTAGCTCAATCCAGTTTAATCCAATTCAATCTTGCTTCATCCAGTTCAATCCAGTTCAATCCGGTCCATTTAGTTCAGTCATGTACTTCTTACATCCCAGAAAGCCAAGAAAGTACATTGACAGGATTTCCTTGTATGCAGTGGATTTTGAATACAAATAAAGAGGAAGTTGAGAACTTTTTCATAAGATATTTCATCATAATTATATGGAAGTTTTATGTCGAAAATAAATTTTTAATTGGGACGACTTTATAATACCGTTTCCGTACATGTGTACGCACTTTGTTATTAATCTCAATATTTCTTCCTCTTGTCTATATCTTGACCGAGTAATACGATGAATTAAAATCAGAGGACAAATGTTAAATTAAAAAATAGATTATATCATGTCGATTTCTGCGATACTTTAGCAGACAAAAACTTTTGCCGGAAAATTTTTTTGGAATTAAAAACGTCGATTATTTCCAAACTCACAAATTCAGATATTCTTTCAAAAATGTAAAAAATCATCTTAATTGTAAAATCAAGCATTTTTTTATTTTGAAAAATTCTAAAGTTGAGATTTTGGCCCTCAATTAAAGAAATTGAATATACTTATTTGACCCCCCTGGCATATTAATTATAGTTATAGTTTTATTTAAAAAACGACTCTACAGTTAAGAAAAATAACAAAAAGAAAAAATGTAAAAATGTTCAGTTTGCAGGCTAAAGAGCTACCACCGCCTTTTAACATAATACAGTTTGGAAATCTTAGAAGTTTTATATATTTTTTTTAAAACGACCCAAAGCGATTAAAAACATCGTATATAGGGTGTTCCATTTAACATGACAGTAAAGGGACAAATAACGATTTATAATAAGTATGTCGTTTTGACAGACATCATTTTTGAATGCCCGGAAAAAAAGGTTTTTGAAGCAGTCCTGTACTTTCGCGACAGTAGTCAGTAGCAGTGATGTCACTTTTACGAATTTATTCTGATTAAATTGGGGGAAAGTAACCAAAGTTCATGAAATAATATTTTGATAATAAATCTTAAGAAAAAAAACCTATCATCCCGGTTTCATTTTCAAACGGGACGTTAATTGGAATCCATCTAAAAAGTCTATGGAAAAAATACTTTCAATAAAACACTATAAAAAAGTCCGAAATTTATCAAAGTCCTTTGAAAAAAGTCATGGGAAATAAACATTTTAAAAAGGGGTAATTTTCTTTTACACAAATTTTTTTCAAATGGTGAACGAACAAGTTTTCTAACTAACGAAGAAGAATCTTCAATTAAATTGAGTTTATTTGTGAAAAATATTCAAAATAATTTGAAGTAAACATTTCCAGGACATTTTCCCGAAGGACTTTTTAGAGCCGGAAATTTTTTTAATACAAACAATTTTTGTGTGGTTGATTTAAAATCTTCTTATCCTTTTATATTTCTTGGATTTCTATACAGGGATTCAAGATTTCAAATATAACCGGCTCTCCTAGAGTACGTTTTCTGTTCAACACTACAATGGTTGACCAGAAGACGTCTCCGACTGTGTGCGTTCTAATAATCTACAGTGATAACCAGAAAACTCTGAAATAGGAAGACGACTTTTAGACTCTAAATATGACATTATATAGTCCAATCAGCATGGGACACTGCAATTTTATAATGTAAACAAACCCATCTCATATAATTAGTAGGTTTTATAGTGTCTAGTAAAACTATTTGCTTTGTAACAACAACAAATATACTGAAGTATTGCTATAAAGTCGTCTTCCTATTTCGGAGTTTTCTGGTTATCACTGTATCTATCAAATAAAATTCTTACATGAGACGTACTACTATCGTCCCCCCAAGTAAGTCATTAGGTCGGCTCTACGGCCTTAAGTTTATACAAGAAACTCAAATGTACTCCAAGAGTCAAAATACGTATTGAGCGTACTGCACTTTCTGCACTATCGTACTGCAGTTTAGTAAACAATCAGTTTACTCAAACATGTCGTTGCCACAGGAGACAAGTACTATTGTTGCGACGGTTGTTGAAGAAATCTTGGTCGACGTGATAATTGTTGACAAAGATTCCAAACTACATATTGCAAAGGTATCGTAATAGATTGTAAACTCCATAAATGTGAAAATTGTAGAAACGATCTCAACAGATCGCGTGACCTAACTTTGTTTTACAGGAAGTGTTAATGAATTTTTAAATAGTTTTTAGTACAAGCAATATTAATTGATCTTAAAGTGAGTGTTCGCGAAAAATTAAAGGGGGTATAGGCTTACGGCGATAAATAATCGTTTCTGATTGCTAATAATCTTACTTCTATCTGTTGCGTCTATATGAAGAAAATTGTTAAAAACGTCCCATACCGAAGAACGAAGCGTTCATACAAATTGAGGAAGTTGGAACAAACGACTTGGATAGTAAAAAAATCAAATTAATATCAAACAAATAATTTAGATATTAAATCCTATAGTCATCGATTATTTTTCGACGCATTTGTTGATCTCTCATAATATTTTTTATAGTGTTCGCGAAAAATTAAAGGGGGTATAGGCTTACGGCGATAAATAATCGTTTCTGATTGCTAATAATCTTACTTCTATCTGTTGCGTCTATATGGAGAAAATTGTTAAAAACGTCCCATACCGAAGAACGAAGCGTTCATACAAATTGAGGAAGTTGGAACAAACGACTTGAATCGTAAAAAAATAAAATTACTATCAAACAAATAATTTAGATATTAAATCCTATAGTCATCGATTATTTTTCGACGCATTTGTTGATATCTCATAATATTTTTTATTCCCGGAAAATATGGAAAATGTAGTCTTCATTATCAAAATCCTCTAATCAGGAATTAATTTTTTCAAAAGTCACTCTCGGATCATAGAAAGTAAAAAATATTATGAAATATTAACTGTATACGAATGCGTCGAAAAATAATCGATGACTATAAGTTGTGATATCTGAATGATTTGTTTGGAACTAAATTGATTTTGATACGATCCGAGTCGTATGTTACAACTTTCTGAATTTGTAAAGAAACTACGTTCTTCGGTATGATACGTTTTTAACAATTTTCTTATTACAGACGCAACAGATAGAAGAAAGATTAGAAGCGATCAAAAGCGATTATTTATCGCCGTAAGCCTATACCCCCTTTCATTTTTCGCGAACACTCCTTTTAACTATTTTAATTTCGATTTTATGTTTCTATAAAGAGTATTTTAAAAAAGATCGGATCTAGCTAGGCGTTCGTTATTTGCCCGAAATAGAACGATCTTTAGCGGGAAATCCCGTTTGTCATCTAACAAAATTATCGTTCCTGGTTAGTAGAGGGCACAGAATTTGGTATTATAGGGGGAGAGGAGGTCAGCCAAATTGAGTTTATTTTATAAACCTTTTATTTGTGTCAAATAAGGCTTGGACGCTTAAGAATTTTTTTTGAGAGAAGTCTCTAAGTTGTTTAAATGTTATGTTTAAGTTAAGAATTTTGACCAAAAATCCGCTATTTAATTGAAAACTTTGAAAATAAGATTTTTCAACACGCTACTCTGAATAAACAAAGGGAATGGCGTGCTGCTGGCGCTCCTAAATCTTTTCTATATGGCTGTTAGAATCTATTTAATATTTAGATTATCCCGAACTGTGCTTTCTTGTACTTTTGCTATAAAATAAATGTTTTTTTTCGAAAAAGCTCTTAATATACACGGGTTTATAGGATTCATGTCAAGGATAAATATTTGAACGAGAAAAAGTAATTTTAAATTGAAATCACTATAAATCGATGCTAGCTACAATTTATACAATGTTTATGTAAATGAAAAGATTATCAGAATATATTCATTTTGTTCATTCTCACCATGAAACACAAGACAAATGAATTCAAAGAGGAGTATTGTGAAAAAAAACCAGTCCTCCCTGACCCCCTAAAATACGTACAGGGTCCCAGTCCTTAATTTTACTATAATTTTGATTTGTTCTACAAGTATATACAAGGAACCTCCCTAGTTTTTAAGAAAATGGATTTTAACCCTATTCCTGCTGGGAAATCCGCTATTTAATTGAAAACTTTGAAAATAAGATTTTTCAACACGCCACTCTGAATAAACAAAGGTAATGGCGTGCTGCTGGCGCCCCTAAATCTTTTCTATAATGGCTGTTAGAATCTATTTAAATATTTAGATTATCCCGAACTGTGCTTTCTTGTACTTTTGCTATAAAATATATGTTTTTTTTTCGAAAAAGCTCTTAATATACACGGGTTTACAGGATTCATGTCAAGGATAAATATTTGAACGAGAAAAAGTAATTTTAAATTGAATTCACTATAAATCAATGCTAGCTACAATTCATAAAATGTTTTTGTAAATGAAAAGATTATCAGAATATATTCATTTTGTCCATTCTCGCCATGGAAGACAAGACAAATGAATTCAAAGAGGAGTATTGTGGAAAAAACAGTCCTCCCTGACCCCCTAAAATACGTACAGGGTCACAGTCCTTAATTGTATTATAATTTTGATTTGTTCTACTAGTATAGTAGTTTTTAACAAAATAGATTTTAATCCAAGTCCCAGCGATCTTTGTCAAACCGGATCTTTGCACACATGAGCTAAGTTTGTTTATTTTCCTATATCACAGATAAAGTGCTGTACTTGCTAGAAATTGTTTTTGGAAAGTACATTGTATTGATGTATTGTGTCTTCGGATGGCGACAACCGAGGGAGTAATCAGAAATTTTAAAAAGAATGAAAACTTTAACAAATTGATAAAAGTCTTATATGAAAATCTGCCTGAGGAAATACTAGGTTTTTCAAGTATAATGTGTGTATTTTAGCATTTAAGAAGCTCTAAATGATAAAAACATATAAATATTTGTTGATTAAATAATTAAAAAATTAACAAAAATGGAATGATGGAGGGGGTGATCGGTCATCGACATTTAATATTACTTTTCTAATTTTAAATACTTCTAACCAAACTGTTTTTACAAAAAAAATAGATTCAATAAGTTTAAAAGAAAGATTTCTTGAATTTTCAAAGATTTAAACTCGCCAATAAAATGTCGTTGACGGGAGTTATTGAGTAATCACATTTTTATATTATGCTTGAAGGTTGAATCCGAATCAGATTTGGGTTTGATTGGGAGGGAATAATTTTCTAGAAAATTTACAATAACCCTGAAGAACGGGAATTACTGTTAGCAAAAATTCGATCAAAAATTTAAACAAAGTTTTCAAGAAGATGTAGAACCAAGAGTAATCTAAGTTTAGACCCTTAAGTAATATCAATTAATTAATTAGCCTATTAGTTAAGTAGCTTATAAATTAAGTAGCTAATTAATTAAGGTGCTTATTAATTAAGTAGCTAATAAATTAAGTAGCTAATGAATTGAGTGTCTAATTAATCAAGTAGCTTATTAATCAGCTAATTAATTATGTAGCTAATTAATTAAGAAGCTAATTAAATAGCTAGTTAATTTAGTAGCTAATTAATTAAGTAGCTAATTAATTAAGAAGCTAATTAAGTAATTAATACTAGCACATTTGACTAATAAAACCTTCTGATGAGCTGTGGATTAGATAAAATTTTTTTTTTACATGTTTGCTGGTTTCAATCTTGGGTGTTAAATAAAACCTAGAGAAGTTAGGAGGGTAAAAAACCGTGACAGAAATGCTGCTTGCATTTCTGGTTGCACCATACAGTAATGCACAGCTGGTAGTTTGTTTATGTAAAATCCTGTACAACTAAAGACTATCTATTCACCGCAGTTGTCCAAATAAGATCTTAGGAATGTTGTATAAAGAGTTTCAGGTTGTCATTTTAGTCTCATCGTTTCGAGGGTAATTATGTTTTTTACTCTCTAGATTCCTTTTAATGATCATAAAAACCATGATATTGAAACAAACAGATTCCTCTAGCTTTTGCTTGAAAAGAAAAAGTGAGGTTTAATAATTTGTGAAATCTAGGGATGCAGTGATAGAGTTATAATTGGTCGAACATACAAGTTCTACAGAGTTCAGGTAAAACTGAAAGGGACTGTACCTTTAATTAAAGGGACTGTACATGTAATTTCAACTGATCCTCCATTTTACAAAATCTGGCAATTTCTCAGAAGCTTATCTTATCTTTCGTTAAAAAACAGAGTATGCCAATTTTGCAAATAATTTAAGCAGTTTTGCAGTGATTAGTATTCAGGTTTTAAAAAACAAAAAAGTTAAATTATACTTAATAGAACATATTTATCCAAGGCGAAAGATAAATATGCTAAATTTTTATTTTCATTTTCGTATCTTAATTCTTTTTCATTAGTATCTTAATAGTAACTGATTACTTACCAATAACCCAAATTTTATACGAGGGACATGCTAGAGATGAGTAATCACTTCCTTTTATACCAGGGACATGCTAGAGATGAGTAATCACTTCCTTTTATACCAGGGACATGCTAGAGATGAGTAATCAGTTTTTTTATACCAGGGACATGCTAGAGATGAGTAATCCGTTTCTTTTTATATCAGGGACATGCTAAAGATGAGTAATCACTTCCTTATATACCAGTGACATGCTAGAGATGAGTAATCAGTTTCTTTTTATATCAGGGACATGCTAGAGATGAGTAATCACTTCCTTATATACCAGTGACATGCTAGAGATGAGTAATCAGTTTCTTTTTTATCCCAGGGACATGCTAGAGATGAGTAATCACTTCCTTTTATACCAGGGACATGGTAGAGATGAGTAAACAGTTTCATTTTATACCAGGGACATGCTAGAAATGAGTAAACAGTTTCTTTTTATACCAGGGACATGCTAGAGATGACAGCTGGGAGTTTCTGCACGAGTTCCCCCTGTGTTTGGACACTGTCGATCCCCCCGTCTACACCTTGGACGAGGAGTTCAAGGAGGAGCTCGCCAGGTTCAAGAGGGAGGTGGCGGAGTCCATGGGACATCATTACCATAAGGTAGGTCAAGTGGATGCAGCTACAGTTGGGCAATGAGGTCGGTCCATGAGGTCTCCAATGAGAGGGGGATCTCCAATAGTACGCCAAAGCTGATGATTTTTCCCAGACTCTGAGCCCCAATCTTTTTATTGGAGACCCCTACAATTTCTTTGGAGAACCCAGCTTTTCATTGGAGACCCCCATATTTTTATTGGAGACTCCAAAATTTCATTGGAGAGCCCATACTTTCGTTGGGAGACCCCAAACTTGACATTGGAGACTCATAGATTTTTATTTGATACCCAAAGAAATTCATTGGACACCCCCAAATTAAGAAATTCATTGGAAACCCCCAGATCTCCAATGAAATTGAACAATCGGGGTTTTTGGTTTTCAAAGGGGTCTCGCCAAAAATTTGAAAAGTCATAACATATTTCAAAATTGTTTTCATGCACTAAAATAAATGTGGACCATCAAAAAAGCTTAAACGACTTTTCCAACGATTGAGCTTGTTTCATTCTTTTCTCACAGTCTTAACAGAAAAATTGAGTTTTTGCCACGAGTTTAAATGTTCTTTTGCCTATATCGTTGCAACCTGATGGTGTAAAGAAGATTAGAAAATCTGAGTTTTCGGCCAAAACTCGATTTATTTGGCAGATCTTTATGAATACAAACTTGAAGAGAAGAAAAATCACAAGGCTTAACAAGAATTTTATGGTTCTAACTTCTTTATGTACTGAAATATTTTGCGAGTCAAAACAGCTCAAATATTTTTATGAATTCTGTTTTTGGGGCCTTTTGAACCAAAAGTTTAATTTTTTCCAATAATTGTGATCAAAAATACTCAATATTACCGCTTTCTGACGATATTGTAATTTTAAAGTTGTAAATTTAATATAAACAAAAAGAATGAAGTTGTTAGAAATATTCGTTAAAGGAGGTATTAAAGATTTTGTGACTTTTTCACAATAAATAGCAATCAATACAAATGTGAATGTATCAAAGCGTCCAAAATGAGTAAGTTGAAAAACTAAATTAAAAAGAAAAGACTTTGAAATCATTTATCATTCAGATTCATAAAATTTATAATTGTTAGGGTACATTTTGCCGTCCTTATATTGTCCCTAACTAGAGGTTTCAAAACCCCCTAACCCTGAGACCCCCTATCCCTCAACCCAGAGGCCCCTTATAAACCCCCTATTCCCCCCTTCCTCGTCATAAGGTCCTCTCCCCTCCCCCTCTTTCTGTCATAGGAACCAACTAGGTCAGCTGCGCAAAAGAGGCTGTGGGAGCCGTGGCCTCCGTTCATTATAAAACCCCAACCAATGAGGCCGGGGGGCAGATAGATTCAGCCAATAAGAAGACATCTCCTCATTTTCTGACCAATCATCGCGGTGGCGGTGATTATTGACCAATCAGGGCCGGACACTAAATAAAAAAAATACCAAGGTTTAGCAATAAAATACTGGGGCTCATTTTCAGCATGGCAATGCCTGACTTTTATGTCGTAATATTTTTCAGGGCCTTAATTTGGCTATTCTTGGGTAACATTTAAACGGAAGCTTTTATTAATGGACGATCATTTACAATTTTCTATTTTCAGAAAATATGAAAGCTTATATCTGACAAAAAACACAGTTTACTTTAGACTGACTTCTACGAAAACTCCAGCTAAAATGGAATTAACTCTAAGATACTAGGATTACAATTAAGAACTATCTTTTAATAAGGCAGCATTTTTTTATGAATTTTATTCAATCAAATCAAAATTTGATGAAATATTCTTTTCATAAAACAGGGCAATAAGGGGGAGGGGTATTTAAAGATCACTTTGCACACCTAACAGACAGACATGTTACCTGACACTCCTGCATGTCGAGTNACTGCCTTGATGACAAGGTCTTGCGACGTACAGTGGCGGTAAAGGGACCGGACCAGCGGAGGGGGGCAGGGGAGGGGGGGAGGATGGTAGGAGGTTGAGAGGATGAGAATGGTTTGAGGTTTAGTCTTGCTCATTCTCCTCCACATAGAGGATATACTAAGCTGAGCATGACGACTATAAAAGTAAGTTTTTTAAAATTTTGATGTTTTCATTTTGGTAATTTTTCACATTTTTTAATGCTGGGGGTGTAAAATGATGATAAAAAGACATTTTTAAAAAGCAAAAGTATCAGGTGTTGCCCGTGGCCTTACATTTCTGTTCCCTATATGTTACCCAAGAAGGAAGGGATGTAACATTTTTTATTTTACATCTATAATTTATGGTTTGGCTGGGTAGAGGTAGCATTTATTTAAATAATAGCTTGGTAACCCTGCTTTCCTTGGAAACCTGAGAGTCAACCTAATAAACTTAGACCTGTTAAACCAAGCTAAGAACATTACCATGTTTCTAGCGAGTTCCATAATCAAAATTTGAGACAAATCGGTTCCTGAGTTATGACCAGACATACAAACAAACAGAGATTACTACTTTTTATAATAGAATTGTAGCAATGTTTGTTTGGGTGGGTGTTTGTATGTTGGTTTGTTTGAATGTTTGATCATAACTCGTAAACCCTTGGACAGATTTGCATCAAATTTTGATTGGTGAATGTTATTAGATTGGTTTAAATTGTTGAGTAGGTTTATTTTTATATCTCAGAAGAGGTCAGAGTTAAAGGAATATATATCTAAATAGGTCAAGATTAAAAGAATTTATATCTGAATAGGTTTGAATTAAAGGAATAAATATCGGGATTAAAGGAATATATATCAGAATTAAAGGAATATATATTGGAATAAGATGGAAGGAAAGGAATATATATCGAAACAGGTCAGATTTAAAGAAATTTATATCGGAATAGGTCGGAATTAAAGGAACATATATCGGAATAGGCCAAGATTAAAGGAAAATATATCGGAATAGGTCAAGATTGAAGGAAAATGTATCGGAATAGGTCGGATTTAAAGGAATATATATCGGAATAGGTCAAGATTAAAGGAATATATATCAGAATAGGTCAAGATTATAGGAATATATATCAGAAAAGGCCAAGATTAAAGGAAAATATATCGGAATAGGTCAGAATTAAAGAAATTTATATCGGAATAGGTCAAGATTATAGGAATATATATTGGAATAGGTCAGAATTAAAAGAAATATATATCGGAATAGGTCGGAATTAAAGGAACATATATTGGAATATGTCAGAGTTAAAGAAATATATATATTAAAATAGTTTAAAGGAATATATATCGGAATAGGTTAGAATAAAAGGAATATATATCGGAATAGTTCAGAATAAGAGGAATATATATCGGAATAGGTCAGAAATTAAAGAATATATATCGGAATATGTCGGAAATTAAGGATTATATATCGGAATAGTTTTATAAGAAAATTAAAATATTTAGGAAAAATTTCAAATAAAATATATTGGAATAAGGACCTCCCTTCTCTCCTTCTTTCCTTTCCCCTTCCTTCTCCCTTCCTTTCCTTTCTCTTCCCTTCTCTTTTCCGTTTTCTCTCTCTCCTCCTTTCCTTTCCTATGTAGGTTCCTGTAGATGGTGGAGAACCATCTCTTTAATACCTTCTCAATATCTAGGTTCCAGTAGATGGTGGAGAACCAGGACTGACGAAAGATTCTGAGGATAGTACAGAGAACAAGGAACCCTTCTTTCTTGACGAAGATGTCGGAACCATGCATTATAACGGTTAGATCTTAAACTTAAAGGGACTGTAAAGGAAAAATGAAAGGGGGTATAGGCTGAGAACCTTAGGCGTTAAACAATACTTATAAAACATCTATCTGATGTTCCTGTCTCGAGAAATTGATATTAAACTGTGTCAAATTTATACGAAAATTAATATATATGCAATTTTGTATAAAAGTTGTAGTATTAAACAGATCATATTCAACAAATACGCAACCAATCTGAAAACTACGATATCCCACAGGAGCCTGAGAATCTCAGGTTTGCTCCTGCTTACAGCAAAAAGTAATCCCTTTTGATCGCTACTTATTTTACTTCTATCTGTTGTGTCTATGAGGAGAAAATTGTTAAAAACAACTCATACCAAGAACGTAGCGTCCATAAAAATTCAGAAAGTTGCAATATCACTCCTGTATGCCGAGTCCATTAGCACCTGATCCAATCAGGGTTCAGTCATGTGTTTGTTGTCTATTCTGAACCAATAGAAATTTCATTTTCNTTTCACACTTAGTTTTTTAAATGGTGGATTTGAGCATTTTCATCCCTGCACCCTTCTAATAAAACTATAAATTCGCTTAGATCAATTAGTCTAAGTTTGAAATACAAAATATTTACACCATCAGGTTGCAAAGATAAAATCGTGATTTAAAAGCAAATAAAATATAGATAGATAAATACATAAATAAAGATAGATATAAAGATGATAGATAGATAGATAGATAGATATAAAGATGATAGATAGATAGATAGATAGATAGATAGAAAGAAAGGCATATTGGATATATATCCCCCTGTCTATCTATCTGCCAAAACCACCTGGGTCTATCTTTATAGTAGAGGGGGTATAAGGGGAAATATGGACCAAAAGGGGGGGAGTTAGATATTACTTTTCTTAATATTTATGCAAATATCCCCCACCCCCCTACCCTGCTCTATCTCTGGTATATTCTTCTTATTGAAACACATAAAGATTCTTTATTTTAAATTTATCTTAAACCCGTTGTTAATTGTTTAAATAAAATCGTTGTCGTGTTTACTCAAACCATTCTTTTTTTGCTCCCTCAGCCCTCGNTGTTTTCCCCGTATGAATTTGATATTCCCTTTTTGATCAAATTGATTGTTTAATTGATGGAAAATTCCAAACTGATTACTCAAACATTTTACAGTTTTATCATTTTATCAAAAATCAACACATTTTCAACAGGCTCTACCAAACAACATGCAATACTAAAAAACAAAGTTTTAAGATTTTTAAAGATATGCAGAAATTAAGGATCTCTGTTTTATGGCAAAAATCTACGAAGAAAGCGAGTTTTTAATAATTTTTGAAAGGATGTCATGATTGAAATTCTTTTAAACAAAGTTTGAGATTTTCCTATTGATTTTTGAGATAAATTCATGAAAGAATAATATACTGATTTAAAATAAAGGAATCAATGGGGGTGGGGTGGGGGGGAGTAAAATTGTACTGTCAATCACACACACTACCAGCTTACATGCTATCTGCTTGTAATATTGTACGGTGTAAGATACCAGAATCTCAAACAGGAAATTGAAAACCGGTTCTGTGATCCTATCTTTCCCGCGGGGTATACAGAGTTGCACCTCGTGCAGGAAACAGAATTTTCCCGCATTTTCCAAAGAATCAAAAATATTTTGATATCCCAGCTCTAATCTAAAATTGCATTGAACATATCCATGCATAAATGATTATTTTAAACCATAATAGCTGGTTAAAATACATGTATTTAAACCATAAATATTGTTGGAACCATTTATTTATTCCCCCCCCCTCCAACCCTAGATCTGACCACCACCATTCATAAAATTCAAACTCATATTCAGTTAATCTTTGGTCGAGTTAAAGCAAGGTATTACTTTTGAAATCTGTTCATTTGTATTTGTTTATGCATAGTTACTTTTATCTTTTAATTCTTTTAAATTTTAAATCTTAAACATTTATTATTCAAGTTTCTTATTTTGTATGTTTTTTAGAATATGCCCTGAAGATGGTTAAATAAACCGAAAATTTGGCAAAAAAGAGTTTTTGTTTCACGGATCTGAGAGTGTTAGATTTTGAAGAATTGTATACATCCATATATATCTATTTTTAAGAAATCCACGTGCAGGCAAGTTGTATCAAATATCAATTTTATACGAATGCATCGAATTGAATTCAACATGTATAGGTTAATATATCTCAATAATTAGTTTTAGATTTAATCAAATTATTCTCGATCCAAGTGGAAAATTACAATTCTCTGAATTTATATGGTCGCTACATATATTATAAACGCTCTTGGGGTATAAGACGTTTTCAACCATTTTCTCCTTACAGATGCAACAGATTAAAGACAATTAGTATCGATCAATATAGAATTCTATTCGATATCAGCATATAACCCCCTTTCATTTTCCTACAGTGGGTCCAAATTTTGCGTAGTAACAATAAAGAAATCGGAAAATAAATAGAGAATGGAAAGAAAAACATGAAATAATATTTCTAAACTAAAATATTGGAATCTACAAAACTGCTTTACCCCATTCATGAAACCGGGTTTCCGATACTGTGTTTCAAGACGATAGTCTCTCTTAAGTTTCGGGCTCAAAATAAACAGAATCAGTCCAGTGACATGTATCGGAAATAACCTAATAACACACTCTCCAGATACCGGCGCTAAACCGGAAGTTATATACCGGAAGTGAGGCCGGAACTAAATTTTGTCGGAGAAGATTTAGCTTAGTCGGGGAGTACTGAGAATTTATTCACATATCTAAACTCACTGTTAAACANATCCATCTTTCCTTGTTTCAAGATTTAAGCCGGCGCTCAATTGAAACCGGTTTTGGGCGAATTTGAGACGTGACTCAAATTCATTAAATTTGAACTCTGATCAGCTGTCAAGAACGTGATCATTGTTGTGAATCCGGAACTATGGAAGGTAACTTGAAGTTACTCTGACAATCCTTTAAAGCATATTTTTATCTTTTAAGTCGACTAAATAGTTCTATTCTCCAACTTTTTATAAAAAGTGAAAATAAGATTGAGCTTTATTTGATTTAAGGAAACAAGAACACTAATAAAGCATAAAAACATTTATTCATTCAATTTGTAGTTTTTTACTGAGAGTATCATTGAATCAACAATCAGTATTTTACACTTTTTGTGAAAGGAATTGGAAACGTTATTTCTAGTTGGCCTCCATGTAAAGATGGTACTGCCCTATTCACCTGGATACCCTTGACACCTTAATCTGTTCAAGGAATTGTAAACGTTATTTCTAGTGGGCCTCCATGTAAAACTGGTACTGCCCTATTCACCTGGATACCCTTGAAATTTTAATCTGCTCAATAATATGTCAGATAGTGTTGTTATTCTAGATTCACCTGGATACCCTTGACACCTTAATCTGTTCAATAATATATCAGATAGTGTTGTTATTCTAGATTCAGAAGTTAATTCTTAAAATTCTCTTTGTTTTTCTGCAGTGCAATGCCAAATTTACTTTAGTAAAGAAACCATGCAATTGAAAATAATTAGATTTCAAAAATTATAAACATTGATATTTCAATCAAAACTTTTTATGGGTACCATTGGAAATTTGGCATTGCCATCTTTGTAAGGAGGTTCACTTGGAGGCTTCTAGCAGATCTCATATCACATATCACATATCACATATTCACATATTCACATATCACATAAAAATATCACATATCACATATCACATTCAAATATTACATAAAACATATCACATATCACATATCATATATCACATATCACATACGGTTACAGTCTCTTTACTGTGTATACTTTCTTTCAATGGCTGCTTTTTAAATTTTTTTTTTAAATTTTTTACCTTTTACAATTGAACTATTCTTCATTCAATTTTTCAAGGATATCGTTTTTTTAAAAAAGAACTTGGAAAGAAAACGTTTGTCCCTAAAGGAGTACAAGAGATTTAGAATGAAGGGTATGTGGCCTGGAACAAAGGACATGTGACCTGCAATGAATGACATGTGACCTGGATGGAAGGACATGTGACCTGGAAGGAAGGACATGTGACCTGGATGGAAGGACATGTGACCTGTATGAAAGGACATGTGACCTGGAAGGAAGGACACTTGACCTGAAACAAAGGACATGTGACCTGCACTGAAGGACATGTTACCTGGAAGGAAGGTATTATGACCTGAAATGAATGACATATGACTTGGAAAGAAGATAATATGAGCTGAAAGTTAGGACGTATGTCATGTAAGGAAAGGCATGTGACCTGGAAAGAAGGACATGTGACCTCGAAGAAACAACGTGTGACCAGGAAGGAAGGACACTTGACCTGGAAGGAAGGACACTTGACCTGGAAGGAAAGACGCTTGACCTGGAAGGAAGAACATGTGACCTAGAAGAAAAAATATATGACCTAGAAGAAAAAACATATGACCTGGAAGGAAGGAGACATGACCTGGAAGGTAGGATACGTGACATGTAAGGAAGAGCATGTGACCCAGAAAGAAGGAAATGTGACATGGATGGAAGGACATTTGACCTGGAAGGAAGAACATGTGACCTGGAAGGAAGGACATGTGACCTGGTGACCTGAAAAAAGAAGCAAGGAATTTAATATACATTTTTAAAATAGGATTCCAATGTTTCTATCATGTTATTATTTTAGGGTGTTTATGATCTTATTGGATCATATCAGTGTTCAGAATGACAGGGGAAAGAAGGTTGTAGATTTTCACTCGGTAAGATGCTTTTTTAAAAATATTTTCTAAACTTAAGAGCAGTAATATCATTATAAAATATCACTGTCTGTCCGTTTGTATCCAATAAACATGAAAACAGCTAAACAGATAGGACCCAAATTTTGTGTACATCACGTGATCTCAGGCAAGGTTTATTAATAATCAAAATTTCAAAATTTGCCTCCGGCAAAATTCGATTAACATAATCCAATAATTATTTTTAGAAAATTCAAGAATTATTTTTAGAAAATTCAAGAATTAGTTTTAGAAAAACAGCAATCTTCTTTTTATTTTTGTTTTATAATGTATACAAAGAAAAACTTTTAACTATTGAAATATAATATGAGCGCGAAGCGCCCATGAAAGCCTAGTATATAATATATCAATTTATTTTAATTTTGTATCTTAATATCCACAAAAAAATATAGATAGTGTTAAGTGTATCAAACTTGATTCGTTATTTCTCACATTTTATTCGTTATTTCTCACATTTTCTTAGTTATTTCTCACATTTTCTTAGTTATTTCTCACATTTTCTTAGTTATTTCTCACGTTTTCTTAGTTTTTTCTCACATTTTATTCGCGATTTCTCACATTTTTTAGTTATTACTCGCATTACATTCGGAATTTTTCACACTTAGTTTTTTAAATATACTTGATATTTCTCATACTTTCTTCAAAAGTGGGCAAATTAAGATAGGCGATCGATCATTTAAAGAAAACATTCTATCCTTATTCTAATCCTTATTTACTATCAGCCTGAGCAGTTGAAAGAAGTAATCGATTTCGGGATCCCTGACGATCCATTGAACCTTGATCAGTTGTTGGTGGATTGCAAGGATTCCCTCAAGTATCAAGTTAAAACAGGTATCTGCATTGTACAGTACTACAACGTGTACAATGGACATGGTACCATACTGGTATTTGCTTTGTACACACTCATTTAAGCCTAACTACGAACCATTCTTACCCTTTCTATGCAGAGTAACCCCCAGGTTTCCTCAGGTTTTACCCAAGGTTTTCTTCATGTTTACCTCATCTTTCCACCATATTTCCCCCCAGGTTCCCGAAAGGTTTCCCCCTGGTTTCCCACTAGAGACCAGATTAAATGTTCCAATGAGCTTTTCCCACTTGTTGGTTATTCTGAATTTTTTTTTTGCAATTTTTGTCTTTTTCTGACAAAAAATGTTTGACACTAAATATTATTTTTCATTATACATATACATTTTTAAAATAGGATTCCAATGTTTCTATCATGTTATTATTTTAGGGTGTTTATGATCTTATTGGATCATATCAGTGTTCAGAATGACAGGGGAAAGAAGGTTGTAGATTTTCACTCGGTAAGATGCTTTTTTTTTAAATATTTTCTAAACTTAATAATATCATTATAAAATATCACTGTCTGTCCGTTTGTATCCAATAAACATAAAAACAGCTAAACCGATAGGACCCAAATTTTGTGTACATCACGTGACTGGGCAAGGTTTATTGATGATCAAAACTTCAACTCCAATAATTATTTTTAGAAAATTCAAGAATTATTTTTAGAAAAACAGCAATCTTCTTTTTATTTTTGTTTTACAATGCCTAGTATATAATGTATCAATTTATTTTAATTTTGTATCTTAATATCCACAAAAAAATATAGATAGTGTTAAGTGTATCAAACTTGATTCGTTATTTCTCACATTTTCTTAGTTATTTCTCACATTTTATTAGTTATTTCTCACATTTTCTTAGTTTTTTTTCTCACATTTTATTCGGGATTTATCACATTTTTTTAGTTATTACTCACATTACATTCGGAATTTTTCACACCTAGTTTTTTAAATATACTTGATATTTCTCATACTTTCTTCAAAAGTGGGCAAATTAAGATAGGCGATCGATCATGTAAAGAAAACATTCTATCCTTATCCTAATCCTTATTTACGATCAGCCTGAGCAGTTGAAAGAAGTAATCGATTTCGGGATCCCTGACGATCCATTGAACCTTGATCAGTTGTTGGTGGATTGCAAGGATTCCCTCAAGTATCAAGTTAAAACAGGTATCTGCATTGCACAGTACTACAACGTGTACATGGTACCATACTGCTATCTGCTTTGTACACACTCATTTAAACCGAACTACGCACCATTTATACCCTTTCTATGCAGAGTAGTACTACAGTACTACAGTACTACAGTACTACAGTACTACAGTAGTACTACAGTACTACAGTACTACAGTACTACAGTACTACAGTGCTACAGTGCTACAGTACTACAGTACTACAGTACTACAGTACTACAGTACCAAGTACTACAGTACTACATAGTACCTTACAGGGTTACCCACAAAGAATGAGACTATTATGACGACCCGAAACTTTTAACATTTTTAAGGCGTAATTGTATTTATAAAAAAGACGACAGTTAGCTTATCGTTTAATGTGTTAAATAATGTTATACGAAGATAGTTTTACCATGTAGCTTAAAATTCTTAAGTTTTCACAAATGTTTAAATTCAAAATTATAATCGAAATAATTGAGCTTTGCTACAAACTCATATTTTCTAGTATATCTTTGCTTCTCAATATCGTCGACCTAAACTAAAAATTCTGTTTGTAATTTTTTCTCATTTTTACATTTATATAATTGACATTAATACTTTAATTGTATAATCTTCCCAATGTTTTAGAANTTGAAAACCTTTCAGTTTAGAAACATTTCAGTTAAGCATTTTAGTCAAGAAACATTTAAGTTAAGAAACATTTAAGTTAAGAAACATTTGAGTTAAAAAATATTTCAGTTAGGAAACATTTCAGTTAAGAAACATTTCAGTTTAAAAAACTTTCAGCTTAAAAACCTTTCAGTTTAGAAAGATTTCAGCTTTTATTTCTATGCATGCACATTTGAATTCACAAATATTTTTTATTTTCTATTCTTAACTTTTACTCTGATTAGCGCTGAAAAGTTTTTGAAATTTTAAAATTAATTTTCTCTCAAACTTGTTATAAATCCTTTTCAAACTTTAAATCTAAAGTTAAATAATTCTTGCAATAGTTATCAGAGAATAATTTCATTTTGGAGATGTGTAGAAAAAAAGAGCAAGAAAAAATTAGTGATAATATTTTTCCTTTTTTTGATAGACAGCAGTGCATTATATAATTGTTAAATTCGAAAATGTGAATTGCATGTGAATTGTCAATAATTAATTTCATAAAATTTTTTCTCAACTTTTCTGTTGTAAAAAATTCCTTTTTGCAGATTTTTTGAACACATATTTCCGAGTACATTTTACCAACTTAAATCACACTCTTACAGATTTAAAAGTTCCCCACCAACCAACCAACCCCCCCACACGTCGACCGGTATTGAAAATATGATTTATCATAAAAATCTCCCAAACTCTTGGAAAAGTTTGAATTGATTTTAATCCATCAAAACACGGCTGGGAAAAACTTGTCAGCTCAGATTGAGGCTTTCAATAATATATCAGGGTTTAGGACGCATTCCATTTTTCTTCACGTTTTTTAACCAATACAAATTTTCGATGATTTAAAATGATTTAAAATCACTGGCACCGCGTTTTTAGAAATTATAATAAGAAATTGGAAAATGTAAGAAACCCTGTGGGGAAACTATCTTGAGGTTTAAGATGTTGAATGTTTATCCATCTTCATAAACCTTTCATTATCAGAGTTTTTATCCGATACTAGTATCTTTTAATCCTAGTTTAATCTTTAATAGATATTTTCTTCGGATCATTACCTTTCAAGAGGCTTTATCCAAATCTGTCAGTTTTCCCATGCATCACCTTTTACCCAACTTTCTTTACTAATTTTTAATATTTTTTATCAATTTTTTCTTCTATCTTTCTTAACCTTTCTTCCTCTTTGTTGTGCATATTCATATTTTCTTCTAAATTCTATTCTTTTTAAATATCTCTCGTATGTACTTTTCCGCTGTTTTTTTACTCTTTTATTATATCATATTATTTATTACTTTGGTTTTTTCCCCCCTCCCCTTTCCATATCATCTAATTCCCCCCCTTTCCCCTCTGAAATTTTGATCTCCCCTAACCAAGAAAGTTTGAACTATAGAAACCCAATATTGGATAAATGATAAGGAATCTATCCAACCCGGACCGGGAGAGGAAATTTCTAAATCACAAAGAAACTCTCATTTCTCAACATAGATTTTGGGACTACCTCTTGAGGATTTTTGGGACTACCGCTTGAGGATTTTTGGGACTACTGGTTTGGTTTGGTTCATTGCATTAGAATAAGTGGGACCACTGCCAGAGAATAATAGAAGCCATGAGGATGCTTGGGGCCCACCTCCTGAGGAAGATTGGAGTCAACCACCTGAGGATGATTTGGGCCCACTGCTTGCGGAAGATTAGAAACCACCACCTGAGGAAGATTGGGCTCTACCGCTTGATGATGATTGGGGCCCATCGCCTGAGGAAGATTGGGGTCCACCGCTTAGGGAAGATTGGGGTCCACCGCCTGATGTTTTGAGTCAACAGCCTGAGGATGATTAGGGACCACAGCATGAGATTGTTTTGGGTCCATTGCTTCTATGGGACCTGTTTTAATATCAGGCCCACAGACACAATGCTACCAAAACAATTTTATATTCTTCCATTCAGTGAAAGTAGATAAGTTCTTAGTTTTTTCATTTCATATTCTGGAATTCTAAAATAAGTTTTGTTTATTTTATATATTGATTTTTAATATTTACTAATTATTGGAGAAAAAAAAGTTATTTTAGCACTGCTAATGTTCTAGAATTTTGACCAATATTCAAGATCATATATGGTTGATTGGTACATGATAACTAGGGTTTCCGACCGCAATTGAATTTTACTTGCGCTCAATTGCGAGCCTTGTAACTTGTTAACTTCGAAATTCTGCGCAATTCGAGAACAGTTGCGCGCAAATCCGTGTAACGAGATTTCGATTGGAAACCCTAATGACAACCATGATAATATTTCTCATCGGTTTTCTTAAACCTAATGAAATATTTAATTTTGTGTTTCTTAATTTATATACAGATTTTATCAATGAACATAAATGTCTATTTTGTTTATCGTATTTATTAATTCAAAATCTATGAACTAGGTCTTTTTTAGGGATAGCTTGGTATAATTTGCAGTATCTAGATTATTTGATCAAGGAAATTATTTTAATTTTTGCTGTAAATACATAACAAATAATAATTTAATATTCAAAAAATATTAAATTTTTGAAATGCTTTTGATGATTTGATATTTCTTCTAATTATAATAAACTTGTTTTTTGTTGTTGTAGCCATTGAACCATAGCAGCGTATATGGACATTGAAATAAGTGAAGTTTTTTTGGCCACTAGCAAGGAATTTGTATAGGGCACCCTCGGTTCTTTAACCAGCTGAGCTGTGGCTTGGACGTTGTATCTCTGGCCGGGGAATGGTTGACTGCCACCGCCAACACCAACATGTTCACTTACGAGATCGCACCAGTCTTTATTCTCATGGAGTTCGAGTGCTTGAAGGTAAAATACAATGTTGAAATCTGAACTTTAGATAATAATGATTCCCTGAAGAGTGTGATTTTAAGATTGCTTAATATTAAATTGTAAACCTTAAAGGGAGTGTTAACAAAAAATTAAAGAGGGGTATAGGCTTACGTCAAAAGTATTCGATTGTCGAGTAACGCAATTTTCTAAATTTGTATGGACGCTAAGTTCTTCGCTTTCAACAATTTTTTCCTTATGGACGCAACAGATAGAAGTTTAAGATTAGGAGCTACCACAATCAGATGTTTTTCGACGTTAGCCCATACCTCCTTTCATTTTTCGCAAACACTCCCTTTAATAAAGATTTAAAATTGTGTTTGATGGAACCTTTATCAAAAGAATGGCTTTATAATTTAAAATGGTGCTCTTAAAAATTCAAAAGGAAACGACGAAACACAACTTTTTTTTCGGTATGTTGGAATCCGATCCGTGGATTTGTGCAGAAAAAAAGTTGTCATGTACTGGATAGGAAAGCTAAATGAAATCTATAATTGTTATTTAGGATTAATTACTGAGCCTCTGAAGGCTCTAATGGCATTTTTTTTTAATGTTTTAACGTTAAGGGATTTAATAAAATTGAAATCATTAGGTATTGACTCATGTCATCCTTTTAAATATTTTATTTTAGAAAATGCGGGAAATAATTGGCTGGTCTGGCGGCGACAGTATCCTGGCCCCTGGTGGCTCAATTAGTAACATGTACGCACTGATGATTGCGCGGCATAAACTCTTCCCGCAGCATAAGAAATATGGAATGCGCGCCATCAAGGGCCAGCTTATCATGTACACAAGCCAACACGTAAGTTTATATTCTTAAAACACTTTTCATATTCATGTTTCAATTTCATAACTTCGATTGATTGATTTTAGCACCACTACTCGATCAAAGGAGGAGCCTCTGCTATTGGTCTTGGTACAGAAAACTGCGTTCAAGTGGCATGCGATGAATAGTAAGTGAAATTTAAAATCTACATCTTTTAAAAATAGTAAAATTAATAAATGCTTTTTGCAAACAATGCATATTTAAAAAAGGGTAAATGCCAAAATACAAAGTGGCAATGAGCACCCGTACTGCGAGTAAACGTGGAGAAGTTACTAGATTAGTTGGACAAAGTCTTTCATTGAAACTTTATAAAGGAATTAGTTGTTAGGTAAACAGTACTAATTGGACAGATAGATACACTCAGATAGACAGATAGATAGGAATATATTCAGATAGATACACTCAGATAGACAGATAGATAGGAATATATTCAGATAGATACACTCAGATAGACAGATAGATAGGAATATATTCAGATAGATACACTCAGATAGACAGATAGATAGGAATATATTCAGATAGATACACTCAGATAGACAGATAGATAGGAATATATTCAGATAGATACACTCAGATAGACAGATAGATAGGAATATATTCAGATAGATACACTCAGATAGACAGATAGATAGGAATATATTCAGATAGATACACTCAGATAGACAGATAGATAGGAATATATTCAGATAGATACACTCAGATAGACAGATAGATAGGAATATATTCAGATAGATACACTCAGATAGACAGATAGATAGGAATATATTCAGATAGATACACTCAGATAGACAGATAGATAGGAATATATTCAGATAGATACACTCAGATAGACAGATAGATAGGAATATATTCAGATAGATACACTCAGATAGACAGATAGATAGGAATATATTCAGATAGATACACTCAGATAGACAGATAGATAGGAATATATTCAGATAGATACACTCAGATAGACAGATAGATAGGAATATATTCAGATAGATACACTCAGATAGACAGATAGATAGGAATATATTCAGATAGATACACTCAGATAGACAGATAGATAGGAATATATTCAGATAGATACACTCAGATAGACAGATAGATAGGAATATATTCAGATAGATACACTCAGATAGACAGATAGATAGGAATATATTCAGATAGATACACTCAGATAGACAGATAGATAGGAATATATTCAGATAGATACACTCAGATAGACAGATAGATAGGAATATATTCAGATAGATACACTCAGATAGACAGATAGATAGGAATATATTCAGATAGATACACTCAGATAGACAGATAGATAGGAATATATTCAGATAGATACACTCAGATAGACAGATAGATAGGAATATATTCAGATAGATACACTCAGATAGACAGATAGATAGGAATATATTCAGATAGATACACTCAGATAGACAGATAGATAGGAATATATTCAGATAGATACACTCAGATAGACAGATAGATAGGAATATATTCAGATAGATACACTCAGATAGACAGATNTATCTGTGAGAAGTATGGTATTTGGTTGCATGTTGACGCAGCTTGGGGTGGAGGTCTTCTCATGTCCAACAGATACAGACATGCTGGATTTGAGGGAATTGAGAGGTAGGTCTTTTATTTGAAAACTTTAAGATTTGGACTTGTTCTCTTATCATGATTTGGACTTGTTCTCTTATGATGATTTGGAATAGCCATAATTATCGAAAGAACACACAAAATAATCTAAAATACACACATAATTATCGAAAATAGCCACATAATTATCGAAAATAGCCACATAATTATCGAAAATACGCACATAATTATCGAAAATAGCCACATGATTATCGAAAATAAACACATAATTATCGAAAATACGCACATAATTATCGAAAAACCTAGTATTTCCTGCATACAGTTTTTCATATTAGCCTTATAGAATTATTTGAAACGATTCATTCTTTTTAAATTTTCTGATTATTCTCTAAAATATCAATTAAGAGCTGTAAAAAATCTAATAAGATGTGGGACATCTTATATTATATGTTCTATACAAACGTTCTTTTATATTGCATTTATACATTTTCTCTTGATTTTCATAAGGTATCTTTGAGCCATAAATAAGGGGAAAATAAAGATTACTTAATTTGATAGAACTTGCAATTCTTAAACTTTATTTTCAAACTTTTGATATGAGTCACTGAAGGAAAATTAGGCAAAAATATGAGTCACTGAAGGAAAATTAGGCAAAAATACCAGTTTTACTTACAGCTAGGCTACGTAAAAAATGAGTTAATTATTTTATCTTTTTTATTGCAGAAAATCGATTTAAATAAAAACTTTTTCGTGTTTGACTTTTTAGTTTTCTACCGTTTACTATTGATTTGTAAAAGTTACACTTTTAAAATATGTGTCATAGACATGTTCTGATTCTGTCTGAAATTTGATTATATAAATATTTATAAATAAATGAATAAATAAAGTGAATATATTGAGGTTAGAACAAACTAACTCTCCTCCACCTATCCAGCAACATTTGTCGACTTTTAGCCTCATCCTCATCCGTCATCTCATCCTCATTCTCATCCTCATAATCCTTCTCATCCTTCAGACCTCTAACACTTGATGTACTCTCATCCTTAAAAAGATTGTCAACGTACAAACAGCATCTTCCTTGCAAAAGAACTAGGAGTTTCAATAGGAATTCCGTTGCGCGTAATTGCGCGTAACTGTTCTTGAATTGCACGGAATTGTGCGGAATTGCGCTTATTTACAGGGCTCGCATTTGCGGGCAAGTAAAATCCACTTGCGTTGGAAACCCTAAAGAGAACCAAAAAGGATTCCCTTGTGACCAATTTGTTGGCTAGGGTTTGTCCCCTCTCATTTTCCTTGACAAATTCTGGATCCTAATAATTTTCACTTAAATAACAGTTTTAAGGATAAACTTAATCGTTTATTAAAGGCTAACGTGAAACGTTGAAAATGGGTGTAGAAGTATTGGGGTGTTCTAATATATTTTAATGCAGGGGAAGAGAGTTATAACGGGTTATTTGGTCCTTACCTCACAATCAGTGTCGGGTTTGGGCCATATATACACTTTTTAAAACTTTTCCCCCCTGTATTTTCTCCAAAGATTGTCACCTCATCGCATTCTGGTTCTGCAAACAGATTCTCAATTTCTCGTGATTTCTGCTCATTTTCAATGCGTCCTTTTGCAGTCATGAGTCTAAACAATTTTAAATAATTTTTTTTCCTTACATTTTTGTATTTGCGCACCTGATATTATCTTCCAGATATTCTTCTTCAAATGTATCTACGGTCGTCTCTTCAAGAGTTTTCATTTCCTGAAAAGTTAAAGGAACTGTTAACGTTATTTTACGAGAACTATTTTAAAATCCTAAATCCTAAACTGAAATATTTCGTAATCATTGTTTTCTGGCAATATATATATATATATATATATATATATATATATATATATATATGCCACTGTTTTTGAAGCAGAGTACTATGTAGTTGCTATTATCTGTTATGATCCAAATTTTTATGTCTTTTTAATTCTGTATTTTCGCTCATTTTCTGATTTTTTATTCTTAAAATATCAGTTACCGTACATATTCTTTGGTGAAGCTTCAAATAGGCCTAAAAACAGAAAAATTTAATTTTTCATCCATTCTAATTCTTTTTGTGTTTAATTGCCTGTAGATCTCTGTTTATACTTAAAAGTGCCAGATCTGACGGTCTGCGGTGATGTTGGCCATTTTGTTTAATCAGCTGATCGCTGTGCTTTCTCGCCGCATGGTTGCCATGTCGTCTTTGCTGACCAGTCCCACAAAATTGTTTTTCGGATAAATCAATCTCAAAAACTAAAATATAATATTCCTAAGTAATATTTGTTGTTAAAAGACTAAGAAAAATCATCCATATTCAATTTAATTTTATCAATTTATCATTAATTCTTGCCTGAACGATTTCTTTTATCAGATGAAAACTGTTTCGTTTCAGCATCATTGTTCAGATTCTTATCCTTGAATTTCTCGTGCCCTATGTTATTTTTTTGCTCAATAACGTTGTTTTGTTCTAAAATTATGCTGTGCTCCTCAATATTGTTTTGCTCCATAGTATTGTTCTGCTCCATAGTATTGTTCTGCTCCATAGTATTGTTCTGCTCCATAGTATTGTTCTTCTCCATAGTATTGTTCTTCTCCATAGTATTGTTCTGCTCCATAGTATTGTTCTGCTCCATAGTATTGTTCTGCTCCAAAGTATTGTTCTGCTCCAAAGTATTGTTCTGCTCCATAGTATTGTTTTGCTCCATAGTATTGTCTTGCTCCACCAAGTTGTTATGCTCCACAATATTGTTTTGCTCCACAATATTGTCTTGCTCCACAATATTGCCTTGCTCCACAATATTGTTTTGCTCCACAATATCGTCTTGCTCCACAATATCGTCTTGCTCCACAATATTGTCTTGCTCCACAAAGTTGCTATGCTCCAAGATGAGAGTAGGTTTTATTTCCTGAAGCTCTATAACGTCAGTCATTTTTCTTAGAAATTAAGTAACACATATATTCCTTCTATTATTTCTTATGATTACAAAAAATCAAGACAATTTAAAAAAACTTTTGTATTTCAACATTTGAAATCTTTCATTTTACAGTTTTGCTATTTTCCTCAGATAAATGAAAGCACGACCGATAACCCTTTTTTTCTTTTTGAATATTGCATTTTTAAATATGAATATTGAAAATGTAAAAAAATAATAAATATATAACTACAAAAATATAAAAAAATATAAGAAAATAGAAATAGAAAAGAAGAAATATGCTTTAATTAAAAATTTTTTGTAAGTTCTTCTCCCGTTTTCTGTTTCAATTCTTGTGAAACTTGAGAACGATGTAAACCAACTTTTTACCGAGGCAGATCAAAGCAAACTGATGCTGGGATTTGATAAGATTTTATATTAAATCTTCAAATATAAAAAAATCGTTCATTTTAATATCAATTTTACAGTTTTCCTGCGTTATTAAGTTAAATAGACGCAATTTTTCTGACTTAAACAAATGTTATCAATTCTCTTTGACATTTTTGATATAGTCATTGTCATCAAGAAATACAACATTTTTTTTGTGCAAAATATTCATGGGTGACCACAAAGTTTGTAAATAGAAAAAAAGCTAGTAAAGAAATTGATTTTTAAATACTGATTGTATTTTTAATGGATGTATTGACGTAATTTTAGAGACTAGAAGGAATACCTATATCTGATAAATAATGTGGGAGATATTGTCGTTTTTCTGGCTTGAAAAGTGTTTAATTCTGACAAGATCGATCCTTCATTGTTTCTGCTGCAAGTAACTCTCATGGAAACAAACCACAAATAAAAAATATTGATTTGAAACATGCCACTTATTTAAACATGCCAATTTTCTGTAAAGGCACAACGTTAAGGCACCCTGAAAGCAAAGAATCGGTCAGTGCCATCTTTCAGCTTACGGTCCATTCTATACCTTACAAATTCAAAATTGGCACATTTCAATATTGAAATAGTACTTTTATTAGATTCATTTGAATACTTTTGATATAAGCATATTGCTTTTTTAGAGAACAATTAAGTTATAGTTATTATATATTATACTAGATGAAGTGCCCGGCGTTGCCCAGGTGACTCTAGGTCGATTTGCCTAGAAACTAAGTTTTCCAGCTGTAAAAGTGGATTTGCTCAAGCTTAGAACCTTCCTGTGATCCTACCGAGTTACCCACTAAAAATTTGAGGCAAATTGGTCAAGGGGTATCTGAGTTATGATCGGACATGCAAACAGAGATTACAACGAAATATAGATTACATTTCTTAAATTTTTTGAGGGAATCCTTGAAAACCTTAAAAACCTTAAAAACCTTAAAAAGAGAATATTTTTTCTTCTTCTTTATTTCCATGTATCCTGTATCCTGTATCTTGTATCTTGTATCCTGTATCCCGTATCCTGTATCCTGTATCTTGTATCTTTTATCCCGTATCCTGTATCATGTATCTTGTAACCTGTATCCTGTATCCTGTATCCTGTATCCTGTATCCTGTATCCTTCATCATTATTTAACTCTGAATAAACCAAATTTTGTATCTTGTACTTATATGTAAAAACTATAGAGCAGATTCTGTAACTTGGAACTCTTATATGTTTCATGGAACTTATATGTTTTATATCTAGAGCTGATTCTGTAACCTGGAACTCTTATATGTTTCATGGAACTTATATGTTATATATCTAGAGCTGATTCTGTAACCTTGAACCCTTATATGTTTCATGGAACTTATATGTCATATATCTAGAGCAGATTCTGTAACTTGGAACTCTTATAGTTTCATGGAACTTGTATGTTATATATCTAGAGCTGATTCTGTAACCTGGAACCCTTTTTCATGGAACTTATATATTATATATCTAGAGCGGATTCTGCAACTTGGAACCCTCATAAGCTTCTTGGAACTTATATGTTATATATCTAGAGCAGATTCTGTAACTTGGAACCCTTATATGTTTCATGGAACTTATATGTTATATATCTAGAGCTGATTCTGTAACCTGGAACCCTTATATGTTTCATGGAACTTATATATTATATATCTAGAGCGGATTCTGCAACTTGGAATCCTCATAAGCTTCTTGGAACTTATATGTTATATATCTAGAGCTGATTCTGTAACCTGGAACCCTCATAAGCTTCTTGGAACACTCCTTCAATGCTCTACTCTACACGTCAAGGAATCTGTAAGTAAATTCGTAAACACAATTATTCCGCAAATGTTATCAAATTAATTAATGTTATTTTATGTCTACTAAAAAAGGTTGACAAAAAAACACCTATAATAGTAAATACCTCGAAAGGTATTTAAAGATCTGTTGTTTCCCTTCTCTAATGGATTCCAAGACGTTTAAAGTTTTTAATTGAAATTCCACAAGTATAGAATGTGTTTAAAAGTTTCTTATTAAAAGGGGAGTTTTTTTAAATTTACGTCTTGCTAGCTAGATATAACCTCAGAAGTACTTTTATGAAAAGAAATATAAATTAAAAACATCACATTTTGAAATAATATCTCTCTGAAGCTTCCCCTGCATAAAATAAATCTCCCCCTGGCAAAATGTTCCATTGAAACCCGCAGCTGGCATATTAAGGACAAATTCCTTCCAGAAATAAATGCGCTTTTTAAACAAATGTTGTAATTGCGCATTTTAAACGTAGAGACATCATTTTATCGTTGTACAGTGAACACTAATCTGTACAGTGTACACTAATCTGTACAGTGTAAACTAATCTGTACAGTGTACACTAATCTGTACAGTATACAGTAATCTGTACAGTGTAAAATAATCTGTACAGTGTACACTAATCTGTACAGTGTACACTTATCTGTTTAGTGTACACTAATCTTTACAGTGTAGACTATGTGTACAGTGTACACTAATCTGTATTCTGTACACTATTCAGGGATTACTGATCAGCTGTAACCAGATGTCAGCTGACTACTTGTTCCAAACTGACAAGTGTTATGACGTCACATTTGATACAGGGGATAAGGTAAACAAACAAACAAACAGAAAAATTTCGAAAATAAGTTTTTGAAGGTTTCTTTTTTTATTGCACTTTTAATTTGTTCTTGAATATAAGATTCCCTTAACTTTTATAAAATTAATTTTCTTTTTTCTAGATTTAGTTTTGATAAAAAGTGAACAGTCCCATTGATGTAAAGCTAACTCTATTTATTTATCTACTCTCGTAAATTTCCTCATGTAAAGCCGAGGCTTACAGTGCCGCCAGCCTCAGCTATGTCAGCCTCTGATTGGTCAGATTAGCCTCCGGTTCATTTTTTGGCGGCAGATGCATCACATGTTTTTTTCAGGTCATCCAATGTGGAAGACACAACGATATTTTCAAGTTCTGGCTTCAATGGCGCTCAAGGGTAAGTCGTTTTTGCTGCACCAAAAAGGATATCATTTTCTGAAAAGTGGGCGGGGTTGAAGGCCGAGTTAGGGATAATCCCAAAGGCCATGGTTGACATGGGAACCGAATGCTGCTACTAGGATTGTTTAAGACAGTATTATTTGTTTGTATTTCATTTTCTAGGACATACAGGGTGTCCCACGAAACATGACAGTTGGTAAATAGTTTAAAATGTCTTCTTCCATAATTTGTTAAGTTGTCTGATACCAAAGAGAATTAATAAAAAATATCAAATGGCATTCATAAAATAGTAAATTTGATTTCAAAGTAAAAAATATTTGAGTAAAAGAATTTTTTAACGAAATAAACTGCGAAAAGTCTTTAATATGTTTCGTGGGACACCCTGTATCTTGGTTTGTATTTGTCTAGGAGATATCTAGGTTTGTATTTGTCTAGGAGATATCTTGGTTTGTATTTGTCTAGGATATATCTAGGTTTGTATTTGTCTAGGAGATATCTAGGTTTGTATTTGTCTAGGATATTCTAGGTTTGTATTTGTCTAGGGTATATCTTGGTTTGTATTTGTCTAGGATATATCTAGGTTTGTATTTGTCTAGGAGATATCTAGGTTTATATTTGTCTAGGAGATATCTAGGTTTGTATTTGTCTAGGATATTCTAGGTTTGTATTTGTCTAGGATATTCTAGGTTTGTGTTTGTCTAGGATGTTCTAGGTTTGTATTTGTCTAGGATTAATCTTGGTTTGCATTTGTCTAGGATAAATCTTGGTTTGTATTTGTCTAGGGTATATCTAGGATAGTATTTTTATTTTGTGTAGGGTAAATCTGGGTTTTTATATGTCTAGAATATATCTAGGTTTTTATTTGTCTTGGGTATATCTAGGATAGTATTTTTATTTTGTCTAGAATATATCTAGGTTTTTATTTGTCTAGGGTATATCTAGGATAGTATTTGTATTTTGTCTAGAATATATCTAGGTTTGTATTTTGTCTAGGATATATCTAGGTTAGTATTTGTATTTTGTCTAGAATATATCTAGGTGTTTATTTGTCTAGGGTATATCTAGGATAGTATTTGTATTTTGTCTACAATATATCAAGGATTGTATTTTGTCTAGGGTATATCTAGGTTAGTATTTGTATTTTGTCTGGAATATATCAAGGTTTGTATTTTGTCTAGGGTTGTTGACACAAATAAAAGAACAAAAGGGATATTCGGTAACTTTATTGAATAATAGCATGAAATGAGAAATAAAAGCAAAGTTTAAAAATATTGGCCCTTAATTGGGAGTATCTAAACGGTTGAAAATGAAATAACATTGATTAATAGTGTTGAAAGGAAAGGAACAGTTGGAGCTTCATGATGGTCAGCTCACAGGTGTCAGCATCTTGGCAGCAAAGGGTTCACATCTAGGCGACGGTCCTGGAGGGTTTGCAGTCTGTAACATGTGT